GAGTGTTTGGAGAGCACGTACGCTTTTTTCGTGATCTCCAAACTTTCCGCGTGCATCATAACTGCGAGTAGGAATAGGCCTATAGCTAAGTAAAGTTTTACCTTAATTAACTACCTAACCCGATCCATAAACACTTTACAACCAGTTGTAATGCGTCTTATGTTGTTACCAAAAATGTCCAAAGTGGACTGATAAGAAATATACGGAAAATCTTGTAATGACCAGCAACAGATTTTGAGAGCACTTTAAGGAGAGCACACTCTTCTTTCAACCTGTTTCGTAACGGCTTGCAACGTCCGACTGCGCTACAAAAAATGGGAAAAAATTCTTTTCCTCTTGCAACTACTCAAGCAATTCTACTTTGCTATGTTATCCATCCCCTTTTCGTAGGGAGAAATAAAATATTTGAACATAAAGCTATTTAGTATAATCAGTAAGTGAGTGATACAGGCTCATCGCGAAAAATTTGGACTTTGCATGGGAGAAGCTAATTTCAAGCTATACATTTCAGTGTAACGTGTTATACCCGTGGTCTCTCTCCCTAAATCCTGTAAAAGCAATCAGACACGGGACTACAACATACAATGTTCAAATCGACAAAGTTGCCTTCTTTGTCGTCTCCCCCATCTCTTTGTTAAATGCATGGCAATACATCTGCATGGTTTATTAACAACGCGTAAGGTCAATATGGCTGGATATTGGCCTCGTTCTTTTTTTGCGTGTTTATGGACCTCGACTGCGTCTCAGTCCATAACACGTAAAAAAGAACTCGGTTAATATCCAGCCATCTTGACCTCACTCTTGGTCAATAAAGGATAGAGAAAAACACCATTTCTTGCGGGACAAAGCGGATAATCCCGATCGTGCACGATAGCGCCATCTTGTCCGCTCAGGCAGCCAATCACATCGCAGGAATTGATTCATTACCTTGTTGGATGTAGCCTCGATAAGCAGTGCTCTTTTTTAGGCTAATGCAGACTTTCTTGTCCATCGGCAGGTTAAAAAAATCTCTTCCGCATTTCATGACATTTTTCATCAGGGACTCGTCAATTCCATGTCCAGTGATGTAGAAACAGGATATCCCTTCACACGCCATCTTGATCTGAGAGATAACGTTATGAACTCCTTCAAATCCACCTAGAAATGTAAAAAACTTCTAAATACAATGATGCAAGAGATCGCAAACCAAAATGCTGCAGGTATACGTAGGATCTGTAAAAGATCTGATCAGCCAAAAATAGATACATAACAATGAAGCAAGGCTGGTTGCTACATTTTGGTTGGTAGTGTCAATTCTCTACTGTACATACGTTTCAAGTTTTGAGGTTGAAATAAGAATTTTTTTGAAATAAGTATTTTTGCGTTCAACATTGACCGTCGAATATAAAAGTCAGTATAATTTCTGGCAAGGTAGTTTAACGTTTTGCGCTTAAAGTAGACACAGATAGAAAAAACACAATATGTGAACTGACTGCTTGTCTTGTTTTATGGTCTCCTTTGTGAACGTGATCTAGTGAAATTATTTAACTGCTCTATTTTGCGGCTAAAGCTTTCGCGAACTAAAATGTTATCTTTTACTTTCACGAAGAGTGAACGGCACTACTCCTTTGTCCCTAGTGAAGCAAGAAGGCAAGCGGGCACTTGAGAATACG